AAGCCCAACAATTTTGAGGAAAAAAAACAATATTTTGGACTTTTTGCTCTAAAACATGTCCAGTAAAAAAATTTAAAAAATCAAATTTCGTCATAAATTTCGGCCAAAATGTATTCTGTGACATGTCTTTGCTAAAAAAAAAAAAATCCCAATATGTGTTAATTAATTTTTGTTGGTTGTGAAACTGTTCAGTATATCTAACTGCCTACCTCATTCATGTACTCAAACTTTCTTTTTCTATGACAGTTTTTTTTACTTATGTGCCTTTTTTCTTGTTGTATACAATACTTCATGAAGTGGTGCTATTTTTGTTGTTTATCTTCTAATAAAAACGTTTGTAAACAAAAATAAATAAAATAGAAAAAAGTTTAAAAAGTATGTAGTTAATAAAAATGTAATAAAAAAATAGGAAAAGAATAGTTCAAGGGAGAAGGGGAAGAAGGAGTTAAGAGGGCTCATTACTGTAAACTAAAGGTTATCTATATATAATATGTCCATGCCTAGCTATTCATCCCAGCTGCTGTTTCTAAATATTGCCTAGATATTTCAAATGACCATGTATTATATACAGCACTTTCCACAATAAGAATGTCAGTGTGACATATAAACCATATTTAAAAATCCTTTATTGCAAACACCCAGAAATAGCGCATGCTAAAATTCCTCTGTAACCTTATTATGAAGCACTATACCAATAAAAGTGCTTTTGTGAAATTCCTCTGCAATCCTATTAGGGAACTAGAATTATTAAACCATACCACATGTGCAAAAGTGCCTTAAATATCAGTGATATAATCTGTGTACATAACTATGTGGGTAATAAGGGGTTAAATAGAAATATTTGATTAAGGGCCAGTTCACACTACATCTGTTTCAGTTGTTTTTTTTTTCTGCATCCAAAATGCACAGAAAGTAGGTTATATGGTTGTCAATGTCATAGTTCACATCAGTGCTTGCTGTTCCAGTGCGTTTCGGTTGCAGAAAAAAAAAGTAGAACGTGCTGCAATTTTCTGCACAGAACTGTACTGGAACGCGGTAAAACGCATCAAAAATGCACAAAAGCGCATCAAAAACGCACTGGAACTCATATGTCCCTATTTAAATTGAAGAAAAAGAAAGGGGGGAAAATGAACTGGAATGCATAAAAACCGCACTAGATTGTGTCAAACATGCATCAAAAATGCACTGGTACGTGCCAAAAATGCGTATTCAGAAACGCATCCGGAACGCATCTGGACTGCGTTTCGCATTTGTCAGGTTGCTTTAACTGACAGCATCTGCAGATCGAAGCTCCTCCATTTGATCTGCAGATAAATGAAGCCGGGTAGATACAAAAGTATACAATGTACTTCTCAGTTATCTGCCTGAACTGTGTTGATAAACACTGACTGAAAGGGTTCTTTTTGGACAACCACAGCTACTAGAGCAGCTGCATATACACAGCAACTCCCAGCTTCATTGCCAGCAAGGGGGTTACATGGCAGAGGAGCAGAAGCACGTAACATGCTATGCATGTCCTATGTACGTTAATGACTTTTTATGGGCATGTGTAATATGTCCAGTGTTCTCCACTGGTTAGTATTTGTTCTCTCAAGATCAGTCCTGTACAGGGGCGGACTGACCATTTGGAAACTCGGGCGCTGCCCGAGGGCCCGGGGTCAGTAGGGGGCCCCATGAGATGCCCCTGGTACCTTTTTCATAGGCTTTTTTGAGTTTGGACAAGGACACAGGGCCCCCCATGATCCCCTATTGCCCGGGGGCCCCATGAGTTGTCAGTCTGCCCCTGGTCCTCTACGAGAAATATGGACCCTCTTCACGGTATAGCCAATACAAGTGTGAATGGTTATGCACCCATCATTCTAAGAAATTATTGATCAGAAATCAGACCTTCGTACTGCCCACAGCAGTGTTAGAGATTTAAAAAAATTTATTTCTCTATAGCTGTGATATTTATATGGCTGCAATGTTAAAAAGTCTTCCTTAAGGGCCAGTTCACTCTATTGAAGCGCAGTCCAAATGCGTTCTCGATGCGTTTTTGCATGCGCGTTTTTGACATGTTTTTGGCACATTGCAGTGTGTTTTTGATACATTTTGACCTGTTCCAGTGTGTTTTTTATGCATTCCAGTTAATTTTTTCCCCCTCTCTTTTTCTTTCTAATCAGGGACATGTGCATTCCAGTGCATTTATGGTGCATTTTGGTGCATTCCGGTACATTTTTTTACCACATTCTAGTACAGTTCTGTGCAGAAAAAATGCAGCATGTTCTACTTTTTTTTCTGCAACTGGAATGCACTGGAACTGCAAGCACTGATGTGAACTATGGCAGTGCAGGAGCGGGTGGCTGTTTATATATGTCCTCCCAGCTTCCCTGTCTGTGCGTGATCCATAGTGATCCCTAGTGGTCAATCAGTGATCACATGAATAGTAGTTAGCAAGATGTCACTTCTGACATCATTGCTTACTACTATTGAAATCTGTGAATGATCACAGAGGTCACATGGTATAAAGCTATTCACAACAGCCTTGAACTATGTGACAAGCTGTGACCAATCACAGCTCTCACAGTATTTCTCAATAGGTGCAAAAAAGCAGCCAGAGAGAAATAGAAATGATTGCTTTTACAGCCTTTATGGGTGTGAAAGCAATCAGTGTAAAAAAAAAAAAAAAACTTCATCACCCCCACAAGTAGTACAGGGACACTATGGTGACACTGTACTGCTAGGGTGACAGTATGTTAAAAAAAAAAACATAAATAGTAATAGAAAAAAATAAAATAAAAATGTAAAAAAAATTTTAAAACATTATCATTGTTGGTTATAAACTAATTTGGGTTTTTTTTTTTAAATGAAAAGACTGCTGAATACATTTTGGCCTATGAAGAAAGATTATTTATTTGCAAAATTTTATAAGAAAAACACTTTGTTTTCAAAATGTTTGGACTTTTTCATTTATATAGCAAAAAAAAAAAAATCCCAGTGGTGAATAAATACCACCAAAATAAAGTTTTACCTGTTTCAAAAAAATGCTAAAAAATTCATATGGGTACAGTGTTGCATGACCGCGCAATTGTCATTCAAAGTGTGATAGCACTGAAAGATAAAAATTGGCCTGGGCAGGAAGGGGGTGAAAGTGTCCGGACTTGAAGTGGTTAACAAAGTTTTTTTTAATTTATTGAATTTTTTTTTTTTAATGTTAATCACTTTTATTCCTGTCACAAGGAATTCATGCATCCCTTGTGATAGAAATAAGTAGTGATAGGTCCTCTTTATGGAGAGAGAGAGCCCACATCTGTCGTCTACAATGTAAAGAATTAGATCGAAAAAAGCATTGATCTAGTGCTTTAAAAAAAATGCCCCTGTTTACAAGGCGCCTGAACCGGAAGTGACGTTGCTCTGGTCCTCCAAGGGCATAGAGAAGAGTGGAGGCCATCTTTCCTTCACTTATCTCTATGCACAGCGCCGTGATCATTCGTTGGTTTCTCAGGTAAGGCTGAGAACCACCGAGGTGCGATAGGTGGTGGCGAGTGGCGGCAGCGGTGGGTGGGCGAGGTTATTTTCAGCACCTATATCAGTGCTTATTTTCAAAAGCCAATAGGGGTGTTTTTGGCCAAAATGTTTCAACCACCAAAATTTCGGTGCACCCCTTAGACAATGTTTTCCTGGAAACTGTATATGCCGTCATAATCTTTGATACTGTACCTCACAACAAGGCACAAACAATTTACCATCTTTGAAGCTCAGGAAGCTCTAACAAGACTCTGTATTACTAGCACAAAAGTGAAGCTAGTAATACCTGTTAGCTAGGTGTCTCATCACACAGCGGAAGCAAAAGAGTGCTACATCACTTCCGCTTTCAACGCGAAACAAGCTGTCACTTTCACACCTGCAAATCATATAGTGTTTCCATATTTTGTCCAACCCACTGGCATATCATCCATGGGTGCAAGGTGTTCACTGTACACGGGCCCTGAGGGGGGCCCATTGTGCTCTGACCCACAGGGCACCCATGGATGAGCTGCACCTGTCACTCTCTGGCTCCTATCAGCAGGATTGTGTCCTGTTGCCTTTGCCTTCTCTTGGTGTGTTTCTCCCTGGGAGCTAGTGGTGGGTGTAATGAGACACACAGGATCGGCAAAGCAATGAGCTACACAGAGTGGCCAGAGGAGGCTGAATCTTCTCCCGTCCTATCCCTGCCCAGCCATAGACTTCACCCCCTGATGCGCCACACTGCCAGTGAAAGGACCTTGGAGGTTGCAGATTTGAGCAGCTCTAGATCCTGGCTGCCCGAACCTCAGGGAGGACAGCCTGGGGCCATAACTGGTGAGTACAGAAGGCACAGCTGACCTGCTCCAGTCCGGCAAGAAGGAGAGTACAGAGCTAGCAGTGTTATCTATGGAGCTGTTGAAGCAGAAATACAGCAGCAGACTAGGTGGGAGAGGCTCTACTGTCCATGGAAGGAGGAGCAGGACCAGCCTCGGCAGAGCAGTGAATCACCTTCTTTACTATCTGCATCCTCAATGGGCCCATGTTAAGGTAGGAGATTCCCCAGCACTTTTCATCTCTATTAGTGATGGGCCAAACCCCCCCCCCCCCCCCCCCCCCCCCCGTTTGGTTTGTGGTCAAACATTTTCGAACCTACTGAAAGTTCGACCGTGAACTTCAAACAGGGACAATTTACTGAGCGGTATGAGTATGTAGTAAGATACCACACAGTTATTAAATACTGTATGAGTTATATTATTAAGTCATGCGGTCTTATAGCAGTGAAGACATTATTTTACGTGTTACTAAACCCAAGACCCCACATTCACTATATCTGGTCTCCCACAGTACACAGAACATGGAAATGCAATTATTTTAGTAAATATAAACTGCTAAATACCTTTTCTCATCAGCTGTATATAGCAGTCTTGTGACTTCTATCAGTGTTCAGCAGAGCACTAGCTAAAACTTGTAGGAGGAGTTTTCATTCTGCTCTAGGAGGATGCAGATCCCCTGACCTCTGTCTGGACAGTGCTGATTGGCCGTGTGCTGATCACATGCACTCTCCCAAAAAAAAAAAAAAACCTCTCTAGCAATACACACCAAATTGAGCAGGTGCATGCCTACGGTTCAGTCTGGAGATAAGAGGTGGTCACTTGAAAAAGGGGAGGAACAGAGAAAAAGGATCAAATGGGCTTTTTACACAAAGTGGAGGATTAACCCCTTATGTTCCACAGTGAGTATAACAAGCATACTGCATATACAGACTGATTTTACTGTTGTGGGTTTAGTAACACTTTGTTTCAAATCTGGTATGGATTTTGAGGGGAACCGGCATGCCAAAATTAAAAAAATAATGGCATGGGGGTCCACCCCAAAATCCATACCAGACCCTTTCCCGAGCATGCAGCCCTGAAGGTCAGGAAAGGGGGGGGACGAGCAAGCGCCCTCCCCTCCGAACCATACCAGGCAATATGCCTTCAACATGGGGGGGTGCTTTTGGGGGGCTGTTGATGGGGACAAGGGCCTCTTCCCCACAACCCTGGCCAGTGGTTGTGGTGGTCTGTGGGCAGGGGGCTTATAAGAATCTGGAAGCCCCCTTTAAGAAGGGGGCCCCAGATCCCGCCCCGCCATGTAAATCAGTATGGGGTACATGGTACCTCTACTCATTCACAAAAAAACTGTAGTAATAAATGACAGAAGACAGTCTTTAACAAGTCCTTTATTAAAAACAAAAATAGAAAAAATGTCCCCTGAAGTAGATCCAATGTCAATCAGGATGCCCACCACCGCCGACCTGAAAAAAAGAAAAAAAAAAGCACACTCTTCTCTCAATGCTGGATACTGGCTGTCTGACAGCTGAACCGCAATGACAGTTCTTAAATACTGTGATGATGTCACAAGGGGGCAGAGTAATCAAATGCTCTGTGATTGGCCAAAGCAATGCACCTGTGGACCCCTTGAGAACGTCCTATTGGATGAAACGCGTCGGGGAGGAGTTACAGTGTTAACGCCACCCCGCTGCTTGTTTCTGTGTCGGCAGAGGCTACAAATACTTATTTTGCTAGAGCCTGCTTAAAAGAGATGCTTTTCATACACTGATTGCTGTAACAAGCTGCATACTTGCTGGTGGAATCTGACAGGCGTTTGTGCTGCTGTAGCGGCAGCCGATACTTCCATGGGTACTTCTGTCTGGATTAAAAGCTGTACTAGGAGATGCAAGCTGTGCTTCCACTTTAGAATAAATCCTTCACCTACAGAGGCCTGACTCTACTTCCCTGTTTAAAGAGTGGATTACCCAATCCTGAGGAGGAAGAAGGGTGGCTGTGACCATTTTCAATGCCTTTATACCCATTACCAACCAATCCATGGAATGATACCTGTGCTTCCTGCATAGAGTGACATCTTGGTGTATGGGAGATGGTGATTGTTTTCTCTAAGCGATTTGGCCAACCATGAGAGTGGGGGGCATACTCATTTGGTGAGTGCACACCCGAAAAGGGGGACATTTCATGTTTTAAACGTGGTGAACTTTCTTGGAGAACTTGAAGATTTTTGTGGGTTTAGTAAAGACTTTATTTAGAACTTTTTCACATCAAAAGTCATATTTTGATATTTAGTTTTATTGTTTCATTCACTTTATGATATTTTGCACTACTGAACCACTTTAAGTTGTTCCTTTTTTGGTCGCATTGATTTATTAGAAGTGGCAGCAATGATTTGAGCATGAATTGTATTCTTTGGCAGGTTACTTTAAGCACAGTTTTGTTTGTTTTTGTTTATGCTAATTATTCACTATTCAATGGAGAGAATAGACTTTGCCAATGTGGCCTAATGTACCTGTACATCAGAACGCATCGGCTCACAGAGCGCGCACCCAGGAGCCCGGCAATCCAAATGTGTTCTGCTGTGTCCAGGTGATCACATGGTATTTTATCATGTGACTGCTGCGACCAATCACAGCACTCACATGGTAAACATTGAAAGTGAAAGTAAAGATTGCTTCTCTCTGCTCTCACTGTGAAAACAGAAAAGTGATGCAGCAGTTTGTGATTGTGCATCAGCCTGTCACAGTGCATATACACTGACAAACTGGTGTGCCAGCTAACCTCGTGTCCCTGATCAATGCCCATTGTAGTCCATAGTAAACAATACAGCCAGCCCTGTCACCTGTCCAAGTGCACACAATAACATGGCTATACACCATACCAGCCTCCTGATCACCGCAATACTCCATACCAGCGCCCTGATCACCGCCATACTCCATACTAGTGCCATTATCACCACCATACCCCGTGCCAGCTCCCTGATCACCACCATACTCCATACCAGTGCCCTTATCACCACCAAACCCCATGCCAGCTCCCTGATCACCGCCATACTCCATACCAGTGCCCTTATCACCACCAAACCCCATGCCAGCTCCCTGATCACCACCATACTCCATACCAGTGCCCTTATCACCACCAAACCCCATGCCAGCTCCCTGATCACCATCATACTCCATACAAGTGCATTATGACCCCCATACCCCATACCAGCTCCCTGATCATCACCATACTCCATACCAGCTCCCTTATCACCACCACACCCCATGCCTGCGCCCTGATCACCACCATACCAGTGCCCTTATCATCGCCATACCCCATACCAGTGCCCTGATCACCACCATACCCCATACCAGTGCCCTAATCATTGCCATACTCCATACTAGTGTTGTTATCACTGCTATACACCATACCAGTGACCTTATCACTACCATACCCCATACCAGCGCCCTTATCACCGCCATACTCCATACCAGCGCCTTGATCACCACCATACCCCATACCAGTGCCCGGATCACTACCATTTCAGCGCCCTGATCACCACCATATGCCACACCAACGTCATGATAACCACAATACCAGCGCCTTTATCACCGCCATACACCATACCAGCGTCGTGATCACCACCATGCCCCACACCAACATCCTGATCACCCCATATGCCGTACCAGCATCCTGATCACCACCATGCCGCATATCAGCATCCTGATCACCCCATACCCCATATGAGTGCTCTGATCACCACCATACTCCATATCAGTGTCCTGATCATCAACATACTCCTCACCAGTTTCCTGATCACCATCATACCCCATACCAGCATTCTGATCACCACCATACCCCATACCAGCATTCTGATCACCACCATACCGCATACCGTCATCCTGATAATCGCCATACCCCATACCAGCATCCTGATCACTGCCATACTCCATACCAGTGTCCTGATCACCCCATACCAGCATCCTGATCACCGCCATACCTTATGCTAATCTCCTGATCACCCCATATCAGTATCCTGATCATCGCCATACTCCATACCAGTGTCCTGATCACCCCATACCAGCATTCTGATCACCACCATACCTCATGCTAATGTCCTGGTCACTGCCATACCAACATCCTGATCACCGCCATACCAGCACCCTGATATCTGCCATACGCCATATCAGCATCCTTATCACCGCTATATACCATACCAGCACCCTGATCACCGCTATACACCATACCAGCGCCCTTATCACCGCCATACCCCATAGCAGCACCTTGATCAATGCCATATGCCATACCAGCGTCCTGATCACCGCCATACCCCATACCAGCGTCCTTATCACTACCATACCTCATGCTAATGTCCTGATCACCACCATACCCCATTCCAGCATCCTGATCACCACCATAACTCATGCTAATGTCCTGATCACCACCATACCCCATACCAAAGTCCTGATCACCACCATACTCCATAGCAGTGTCCTGATCACTGCCATACTAGCGTTCAGCATTTTAAGATCTCAACTGATCAATTTTCAGATATATATCCCATAGTTTGTAGACTCTACAGCTTTCACACAGACTAAATAATATACACTGTTTTGGGTTATTTTTACTCTCAAAATTTAGCAGAATAAATTTTGGCATAAATTTATGAAGAAATATTATTAATTTGCAAAATGTTATAACAAAAACTAAGCAAAATTATCTTTTTCAAAATGTTTGGTATTTTTTCATTTATATAGCAAAAAAATAACAAACCCAGTGGTGATCAAATACCACCAAAAGAAAGCTCTAGCTGTCTCAAAAAAATGATAAAAATTTCATATGAGTAGAGTGTTGCTCAACCTCGCAATTGTCACTCAAAGTGTGATAGTGCTAAAAGCTGATAATTGGCCTGGACTGGAAGGGGGTGAAACTGTCCAGACTTGAAGTGGTTAAATGGGCAACAGTGGGGATAATTTTTGCTGTTCCACAACGCAAAGCATCACAAATGCAGCATGCGTGTACCCCCATACATACAGCTGCCTTTGCAGCTTAAGGGGGGGGGGCAGTATAAAAGCATCTCAACTCTGTTTTTTTTTTTTTTTTGTTTTGTTTTTTTTTTTGTTTGTTTTTTTTTTACTGAGCAGATGAGTTATTCTCCCTGTCTGCATGTCAGGGTTTAACTTTCTATTTCAATGGTTTTTATTAAACAGTATAAACAGAGGCAATAAAACACGCCCACGCAGGGGCTATCAATTGCACAGATAAACAAAATGCAAAATAAAAAAAAAAGGGGGAAAAACAATGCTCTAATGCCAACAGGGCATAAGGTACGCCCACGCAGGGGCTATCAATGGCACATAAGTTACAAAACATTAATGTAACTGAATATAACAACTAAATGCAGCTGTCCTAGTCACACCAAAAACAGAGAGAGAGAGAAAAAGGAAAAGAAAAAAAAAAAAGAAAAAAGGGGGGGGGGGGGCAAAGAGCAGGGATTCAAGAGCGCCAACACCGAACGCCATTACATCCCCAGACTAGCCGGGGAGAGTGAGGGAAGGGCATATTGCAACCACGGCTCCCATATTTTCAAAAATTTACGTTGGGAGTCATTGCGGATACTCGACATCTGTTCGTTGAGCATCATAGTGGTCATACGATCCCGCACCCCCTGAAGAGGGACAAACGGACTCTTCCAGGCCTGAGCAATTGTTCTAGTGGCGGATAAAAACAGATAGGAAGCCAACTTCTGCTGGTGAGCCAAGAGGCCCGGTATGGGGCAATGAAGCAAAGCATACTGAACATCC